CATCTTGGATGGAAACAGAAAGATTTGTTAAGTTTTGTCACAAAACTGGTACAATGGCTGGCAGGTTCTCTAGGAGGTGACCATGAACTAACTTCCAGCTTCTCCAAGAATCGCTACTTCATGAGGTCCCTCTAGCAAGAAGGTTGGCAATGCGGGGATGAAAACCACCAACAAAAGAGTGCTCTCATTCTTGAACTCCAGGTGAAGAGGTACCATATGGCAAAATGTCAAAAACAGGTCAGTGAGAGACATTTGTACCTACGCAAAGGACCCAGGTTGTCAACACCGTGTTTGCTACAATCATTGTAGGTATTTACTGAGAGCAAATCACAATATTTGGCTGGACTTGACACTGATCACCCCCATTTCCTACACATGTGGGTGGCAGGCACTGTGATGAGGAAGCCCTGCTTTACCCATAGTATATGGTCTTCCATTCAGATGCCCTTGAGATTCCCAGGGCTACGCACAGGTTTTGAAGCAGACCTAAAGATAACAGCATCTGGATGTCAACAGATCACTTTGTTTCATACAGAAAAATTGAATCAAATGCTTAGAGGGTCTCTTAGCTATTTCCTAAGATCCCAACAAGATTGCTGGTTGACAGAGTCTGTAGCTACTGTTGGCCCTTTGAGCCTTCAAAGTCCCTTCTTTGCAATTTGGAGTTTTTTTTCCCAAAGATTTTTTTCCCAATTACAGTTGACATACAATATTATATTAGTTTCAGGTGTATAACACAGTGATTCGAGACATTTATATAACTTACGAAGCGATCATCCTGATAAATTCATACATAATTGCTACAATACTACTGACTACATTCCCCATGCTATATTCTACATCTCCATAACTATTTTGTAACTTAAAATTTGTAACTCTTAATACCCTCCTCCCTTCATTTGTTCCCCTGACCCCCTCCCAATCCAGTACCATCAAAATGTTCTCTGTATGTATGAGCTTATTTGTTTTATTTGTTCATTTATACCATACTCTAGATTCCATATAAGTGAAATCACATGACATTTGTCTTTCTGTCTGACTTACTTCACTTAGCACAATATGCTCTAGTTCCATCCACGTTGTTGCAGACAGCAAGATTTAATTCTTTTTATGGCTGAGTAATAGTCCACTGTAAATATGTACCATCTCTTCTTTATCCGTTCATCAACCAACAAACACCTAGACTGACTCCATATCTTGACTACTGTAAATAATGCTGCAATGAATGTATGGATGCACATGTCCCTTCGAAGTCATGTTTTAGGTTTCTTTAGACAAATACCCAGAAATGGGTTTACTGGATCCTTCTTTGTCTCTAGTACTTATACTTATCTGGTATAAGTATTGCTACCCCAGCTTTTTTTGTTTCCATTTTCATGAAATATCTTTTTCCACCTCTTTACTTTCAGTTCTGAAGTGAATCTCTTGTAGGCAGCATATGTTAAGGTCTTATTTTCTTATCCATTTAGCCACCCTATGCCTTTTGATTGAAGCATTTAATCCATTTACATTAAAATAATTGTTGATAGATGTGTAGTTATTGCCATTTTATTATTTTTTTCTTCTTCTTAAAGAAGTTCCATTAATATTTCTTGTAATACTAGTTTGGTAGAGATAAACTCCTTTAGCCTTTTCTTGTCTGAGAAGTTCTTTATCTGTCCTTCAATTCTAAATGATAGCTTTGCTGGGTAGAATAATCTTGGTTGTAGGTCCTTGCTTTTCATCACTTTGAATATTTCGTGCCAATCCCTTCAACAGTCTTATGGGAGCACCCTTGTCAGTAACTAAGTGCTTTTCTTCTGCTGCTTTTAAGAGTCTCTTTGTTATTGACCTTTGGCATTTTAATTATGATGTGTCTTGGTGTGAGCCTCTGGGTTCATCTTGTTTGGGACTCTCTCCTTCTTGGGATTGTATGTCTATTTCCTTAGCCAGGTTAGGGAAGTTTTATATCATTAGTTCTTCAAATAGGTTTTCAATTCTCTGCTTTCTCTCTTCTCCTTCTGGTACCCCTATGATAAGAATATTAGTACACTTGATGTTGTACCACAAGCCCCTAAAACTGTCCTCATTTGGGGGGGTTTTTTTCCTTTTGTTGTTCTGATTGGGTGTTTTTACCTTATCTTCCAAATTGCTGATTTGATCCCCTGCTTCATCTAATCTACTCTTGGTCCCCTTTAATATATTCTTTATTTCAATTATTGCATTCTCTATTTTTGATTAGTTCTTTCATGTTTTCTATCTCCATTTTTATGCTTCCTATGTCAGTGTTGAAGTTCAATGAGATCATTGAACATCCTTATAACCAGTGTTTCAAACTCTGCATCTGATAAATTGCTTGTCTCCACTTTGTTTAGTTCTTTTTCTGGAGCTCTGTTCTGTTCTTTCATTTGGGACTTTTTTTTTTTTTTTCTGTCTCCCTGTGTTTGTTTCTATGTATTAGGTACATCTGCTATGTCTTCCAATCTTGATAGTGTGGTCTTATATAGTAAGTGACCTGTAGGGCCTTGTCTCCTTGGTCAACTGAGCCAGATGCTCCAGCTGTGTCCCTCGTGTGGTTTGTATGTGCCCTCCTGTTGTAGATGAGCCTCTGTTGCTGTTTGCATGTCAGTGGGAGGGACTGACCTTCAGGCTGATTGGCTATAAGAACTGGCTGTGACTACAGTAGAGGAGCTGTTGTGCAGGAGCTGATCCTACAGAGCAGGGCTCTGGTGCCTACCCAGTCTGCCTTTTGGGTCTTTGGTGAAGGTGATGGGTAGTGCTCTGTTATGGTCTGAAGCCAGCCACCCAATGTGTTGATTCTGGGGCCTCTTGGGAGAAACTTTGTTGCAGGCCAAGGTCAGCTGCTGTCTATGCCCTGCCCAGCACTACCTGGTATGAGCTACAAAATGGTCTGCAGGTGGTTGCCACTTGTGTGTGCCTTGGGAGTGCCTGGGAGAGGCTAAGCTGAGAATCAGTGCTGGCTGCCACGAGTGCCAGGTTTGGGGCTGCTTAGCAAGAGGTACTGGGCATGCCAAGGCCAGATGTTGATTGTTTGAGGTTGTAAACTTTTGAAAGATTTTAGTAAAGTCCATAGCATGAGCCTAGATAGGCCATTTGTATGGAAAAGCCACTGGATATGCTTGGGTGGACCCAAAATTTGGGTGGGGCGGAGTCTCAGGGTATCATCAGGGCAGGGTGAATGGTGTTAGCCAGGTTGATGGAGAATTAGACTTGGCAACTGCTTACATGTACACACTGGGTGAGGGGAGGACTCAACAAAGGAACAATGGCTTCTGCTGGCACTTCTGTCTGGGAGAAAGCTATACCTCCAGCCATTGCCCTGAAGTCAGACAATTCCATTCCTCCCTGTAGGTATGTCCCTAGTGCCTTTCGAGGTGCTGCCCCAGCACTGGAGGCGCAGAATGAGTGAGTCTGTGTGAGGGCTTTTTAAGAGGAACACCAGGGACTCCAGCAACCCTCCTTTTCACTCAGTCACAATCTCTGCTGGTTTTCACTGCCAGAAGCTATGGGGACTTCTCTTCCTGTCACTGGGACCCTGGGCTGGGTAGCCCAGTGTGTGGCTGGGACCACTTGCTCCTCAGAGGGGACCTCTGCAGCGGAGGTATCCCTCCCCATTTTTAACCACCACATGTGGTGGTGGGACCAGCCTGATCCGCATCTCCGCCCCTCCTACCAGTCTCAATGTGGCTTCTTCTGTATGTCCTCAGTTATAAGACTTCCGTTCAGCTAGACTGCAGGTGATTCTCAATGATGGCTGTTCTATAGTTTAGTTGTAATTTTGATGTGGTTGTGAGAAGAGGCGAGCACAGCATCTACTTACTCAGACATCTTGACCAGAACTATGGAGTTTTAATCTCTGTATATAATATCACCTTAAAACTTTACCATTCTTGCCCATCACCCGCCAGAGGGATGTTTTCTGAAATATAACAGTTTTGTACTGGTTGACAGAAATGATCGAGACAGGCCTGTGAGGAGTGGAATAAATTTTATCACCGAGCAAGGCTGCCACTTTAACTAATGATCCTGGGTCTTTAGGGTCCCTAGGGTTTCAGATTCTGCTCCAAACATCCTGGCTGTGTGGAGAGGGCACTCCATCTCAGAGGGTAATGACAATGAGGGGACCTGAGGGAAGAACAGCAAAGGAAGAGCTGCCACGGAGGGGTAAGGGTGAAGACAATGGCTCTAAGCTCAGAGGGGCAATGGACACTGTACAAACCTTTCCTTGTAGGACTAACTGCAGGCCAGAGCACATGGCCTGGCGATCCTTCAACCAGCCTCTGACACATTTAGTCTTTCTCATCGAGAGTACTGAAGTATGTGTTTTTCAGCTTTACCATGTGCAGGGCCCTGTGCTGTTCCTGAGACTGGCTAAGAGATGCTTTGTCCCTCTTATCTCTTTGTAACTGATGCTAGTTTACTGTTATTTTTATATAGTGTAATCATGTCCCTGCACCCAATAAAGAAAATTATAAAGCTAGAGTATAAAAAACAAAATAGAAGAGCTAGGAAAATGAGTTTTCGATGATGTCAGTCACAAAATAACTTACTCAGAAATCTCTTGAGTAACCTCCAAAAACCTAAAACACAGCAGTCCAGAGAGACGGTGGCAAACAATGGCCCAGGTGCCAAGTTTGACCAATTGAATAGTTTTATCAGCATACAGCCACACCCATCTGTGTACATATTTTTTGCTTTTGTGCTACAAAGGCCTAGTGGAATAGTTATGAAAGAAAACATATGGCCTGTAAAGCCTACAATATTTACTATCTGGTCCTTTATAGAAAAGTCTGCTCATGCCTGTTATAGATTAGATGTTTCTTGATTCTAATAGAAAAATTCTAAATTCTGATTTGGCAGTAATAGTATAGCATAGAGCCCACTATCATGTGTTATTTCTCAAAGACTCTCTGCTGAAGAATGTAGGCAATTATAAGCCAGATTTCAGAGGTAAAAAGTTAGTCACCACTAACTCCAAAATTGTTTCATTCTCATTCTAGGAACTGGATGGTGAAAAAGCAAGCATGAAGTTTGCAGGTCTATTCTGTATTTTTCTGCTTATCATTTTCCAAACTGACTTTGGACAAAATGAAACAATTCCTAGGAAGCAAAAAAGGAAGATGTATTACAGAAGATTGAAGAAAAGTTCTTTGCCAAACCACAGATCCAGTAGACAGCCTGGAATGCAGCAGACAACAATGGGGACACCAACAGCAACATTTCCCATGGTTAGCTTGGATTACAGCATGGAGGAGAAGTCTGAATCCTTTATAAGGTTTCTTGGAGTAGAAACAAGCTATAATGTGCTGCCAGGTAAGAAAACAGTACTAAAGAGAGAGGGAGAAAGAACCTCCATGAAGATAATTTAAAAAATTTTTTAACTTATATTATCTTTTGGTTTAATCCACAAAGATAAATTTTAAATTAATGTTAAAAATCATTTACAGAATGTATTTAGAATATAAAACTGGAAAACAGAAAAAAAAACCAGTTATCCTACAACTATACTTACGAAATCATAATTACTATTTTGTTTTATTTCTAGTCTGTTAACTATGTCATGTATTTTAAATAGTTGTTATCATAACATAGATAATATACACATAAATTTATAAACTGATTTTTCATTTATAATGATATATCATCTAAGATATAAAACAAATTATTCAGATGATTCTATACATGGCTAGTAAATATTTTCAATCAAAAATTTTCAACAAAAAAATAGTTAAGCCACTGATTTTATTTTATACAGACTAAACCAATGAATTTTTAAAGGCTGAAAAGATTGGAAATTCTTCCAAAACTTCAACTAAGCATTTTTAAAAACTAGTATTTAATGGTCCCCATTTTTGCAGGTTTGGAACAACAACAAAAAAATTATATAGTTTACATAAAACTTTCAAATGACCAAAAAAAAAAAAAAATCACCAGATAATATTCTGTGGCCAAATGCTTCTAAATGATGTTATTTCCACAAAGTTAACAGAAATAACATATAATCACCATGAAAGTACACAATTTAGGTCACATTTACAGCATGATAGGGAGAAGAAAAAGTCGGAGGCTGGGAAATCTTACTAAAAACATATGATAATAATAGTGTACCCACAACTGCTAAAGAATGATGAGGTCATTTTCCCTAGTTAAGTGAAAAGTTATCTAAGCTATAATAAAAAATAAAAAGGTTAAAAAGTATGCATAATGTGATCTCGAATCTGTTTTAAAGTATGTAATATAGGGTAGTGTGCATAAAAAAGCACAGAAGATGTATACTAAACATTTCTCAATTAACCTAAAATGTTTTCCAGTGGTCTAATAGTGCTTTTTTATAAAATAATTGTGGTAAATACACATAACATAAAATTTATCATTTTAACATTTTAAAGTGTACAATTCAGTAGCACTTAGTACACTCACAATGTTATGTAACCATTACCGCTATAGTTCCTGAACATTTTCTTCACCCCAATATGAAACTCCGTATATATTAAGCAGTCACTTCCCAGTTTCCCCTAAACCCAGCCCCTGGCAACTACTAATCTTTCTGTATTTAAAATTTGCCTATACTGGATATGTCATATAAAAGGAGTCATAATATGCAGCCTTTTGTGTCTGGCTTCTTTTACTTAACATAATGATTTCAAGGTTCATCCATGTTGCTGTGTGTCAGTACTTCACTCTTTTTAATGGCTGAATATGATTCCATGATATAGATGTACTACATATTGTTTATCCATTCATCTGTTGATTCTACTTTGGGTTGTTTCTACCTTTGACTACTGTAAATAGCACAGCTATAAACACTTGTGAACAAGTTTCTATGTGAACTCTTGTTTTCAATTTTCTTGAGTATATACTTAGAAGAAGAATATGGGGAATATAAATGCTGGGCCATATGATAATTCTATGTTTAAGGAAATACCAAATGTTTTCCATAAAGGTGACACATTTTATATAACAACCAGCAAATGTTCAAAGATTCCAATTCCTTTGGATCCTTGGCAACATTTGTTATTTTCCATTTTTTTAAATATAGCCATTCTTGTGGATGTGAAGTGGTATTTTGCTGTGGTTTAATTTATATTTCCCTAATGACTAATGATGTTGAACACCTTTCTATGTGCTTGTTGTCTTCTTTGAGAAATGTGTATTCAAGTCCTTTGTTCGTTTTTTAATTGGGTTGTTTGTCTTTCTGTTGTTAAGTTTTAAGAGTTCTTTATGTATACTCTGGATATTAGGCCTTTATCAAATATGATTCAAAAATATTTTCTATTTTCTCCCATTGTGTAAACTGTCCTTATACTTTCTAAATGTCCTTTGATGCACCAAAATCTTAATTTCAATGAAGTCCAATTTATCTATTTTTTGTTGTTTATGCTTTTGGAGTTATACCTGAAAATCCGAGGAGGGCACGGAGATGTACATCTATGCTTTTTCCTATGAGTACTACAGTTTTAGCTTTTATATTTAGGTTTTTGATCCACTTTGAGTTAATTTTTATATTTGGTGTGAAGTAGAAGATGGCTTCATTCTTTTGCATGTGAATATCCAGTTGTCCCAGCACCATTTGTTGAAGAGACTATTGTTTTCTATTGAATGGTCTTGCCACTCTTGTCAAAAATCATTTGGCCACAGATGTATGGGTTTATTTCTGGACTTTCGATATTCCATTGGTCTGTCTATATGTTTATCCTTTTGTTAGTACCACACCACCATGAGCTGATTATTGCAGCTTTGTAGTTAGTTTTGAAATCTGGAAGTGTGAGTTCTCCAAATTTGTTCTTTTTTTTTTTTCCCAAGATATTTTGGATATTTGGGGCCTGTTGTGATTCTGTATGAATCTGAGGATCAACTTTTCCTTTTCTGCAAAAAAAGGCTGTTGGAATTTTGATTATAGTAATTTTGAGTATAGTACCTTTATAATCAGAAAAAACTTATATGTATCTATTTTTCCACAAGAAGAACTAGGTGACTGAGATTAGTCTACTTTAAGTAACCAAATGAGAGATAGGGTATGGCCTGAATTGGGATGACACAGTGGTGAGGGGAAGCGGGGAACAAATGTGAGAGCCCATTTGGGGGTGGAATTTGGGAACAATGGCTTATCAGATAGAGAAGAGTTATTAGGAATGACTAAGGTCGGAAGTAAAATATTCCCTCTAGTATTCAAATCTACTGTCTAATGGCCTGCTTAGTTGACATACTTATCCACATATCTATTCTTGTATAACTTAGCCATCCTGACAGATACAGGATGGAAGCACAATTCACAGAGTCAAGTTACCGTGAGGAGGTCACTCTGAGCCTAAGAGAGAAGTTGAGAGAAGAGCACATGAAAAGCATTTCAGAGGGTTACAGCCAAGCATGAATACACATAGAATGCTATTCTTTTGTGGTTCTATCTATCTGACTTCACAGTGTACTCACTTCTATTCACAGGGGCTGGTAACCACACAAGGAATTTAAATGTCTTATGTTCTGTTTTAGGAAAGAAAGGACACTGTTTGGTGAATGGGATAACCATGTACAACAAAGCTGTATGGTCTCCTGAGCCCTGCACTACCTGCCTCTGCTCAAATGGAAGAGTGCTTTGTGATGAAACCATGTGCCACCCTCAGATGTGCCCCCAAACAGTTACACCTGCAGGAGAATGCTGCCCGGTCTGCTCTGATACCGGTATACATATTTAGCCAAAACAAAATATCACATGTGATTTGGTCCTTAACTTCCATATGTTTTCATTTTGTCTTTTACCTTAAGTTTTTAAAAAAATTTATTTCAATTCGTTTCAAATATACGGTAAATTGGTTAGACATCTATATAGTTCATAAAACGATCACTCCAGTTGCTCCCTTGATGCCCTGGCTCTTCACCTAGCCATCATATTAATGCTAACTGCATTCCCTATGCCATGCTCCCTATCCCTGTGACCAATTATCAACTACTAATTTGTACTTCTTTAACTTTTCACCCCATTCTCCCAGCCTCCTCCAACCCACCTCCCCTCTGGCCTTCACCAAATTGTGCACTATATTTGTGAGTCTGTTTTTGATTGGTTTGTTCTTTTTGTTCCTTAGATTCGCATATAAGTGAAATCATATACTTACCTTAAGTTTTAAATCATCATAAACTAGTCATCAGAGTACTTAAAATATTGGCACAATTATGATAAACATAGAAACCACTTGGAAAAGCATATAGTAGGGGTCAGAAATAAAAGATCTTGGCTTTCCAGTTCTAGCTCTATCAGAAGAAGTAAACTAGGACTAGATCGCATTCCACATTTGACTCTTGGCTTTAGAAATGTAGTGACAGAATTTACACAGCCGACAGTCCCTGAGTTCTTAGTATGTATGAAGAGCTCTGCTTAGTCCTTTACATGCATTATCTCACTTAGCGCAACACAACGTGGGTACAATTATTATTCCAAAAGAAAATTAAGAACTCATGGTGAACAAAGGGAGGAGTGTATATGTAGACAGAATAAAGCCCAACTCTCCAGTCTATTTGGAGCAGTGCTTTCTTTTGTGGCACTGCTTTGCAGAGGAAGGTTAAGCTATGGGGTTTCGTTGGCTGCTTCTGTCCCCTTATCCTATGAAGCTCATACCTGATGGAGTACAGAATCCTTGGGAGGGAGGTGCAGGTCTGCCCCAAGAAAAGTCTAGCCAATGAATTATGAAACAAATGCATGTTAAATAATTTGATGAGAAGGGATTGGGATGTGTTTTATCTATGATCAAGGTAGATTGTTTACACACACAGGATGATCACAGAGTGGGTGTCTACAAAAGTCTCCTGTCAAGAAGAACTTCAGAATATTCAGGAATTATATTTTGGTAGCTACTACCAATTATTTTACTAAGGTATTATGACTTCTAAAAAATGTTAAAAAAATAAGTGTTTAATAATTAAACTGACTTCTTAGGAGTGAAACACAAAGTTTATAAAGGCAAGATTCAGAAATTCTCAAATATTTTTCAAAGGAAATACTATAATTATTTTGGAAAAATAAACTTGGATCTACAAGAAGGATTTTAAATATTTCAATATGATAGCTTTAGTTTCCTTCTAATTTCTTCCTATTCTCCTCTTGAATTTTCTACCAGAGATATGAAAAAAATAACTCACAGACTTTTTTTTGGGGGGGGGGGTGACATATATAGTATCAAATAAAAGCAGGGACATGATTAAGTAAATTTGTATATTTTGATGGAAGAAAATCTATGCACTGAACTCACTCATCCTTAGAACTCTTCATTCAGAGGGTGAGTATGAAGTCTGATCTTAGCTACATCTTCCCCTCGTTAGCCTAAGATATTAACATCTAAATACAAATTTATATAAATTTTCTACTATTACATTTCTGCTCTCATCATCATGGAATAATAAAAAGTACTCTCATGCATATGTCTAGGTTAAAACAACATCATTTAAGTCCTGGATGTATTCTATAAGCCTCAAGAAGTAAAAATGACTTAAGTGGATACTGAGTGGAAAAAAATAAGAGAACTCTCTGTCAGAGAATGCTTTTAGACCCAAGGAGCTGAAAGAAAATTAGACAAAAATAATAATAAATCTATAAACAAAAGTCAATTTTACTACCATAAGCAAGTAATATATACATGTTTCACTTTTTTATGTCTGATAGTGTACAAATTCTTACATTATTAATAACCCAAATGAATTGAACAGTATTATTATAAAGGTATCACGTCTTACTATATTGCAATCTCACAATAAAACTGATTACCATTTTGCATCATGTGGCAATATTATTCCCTCTTTAGTCACCAGGTAGTATGACCCTTTAGTAAAAATAAATAGTAAGGCCACAGGCAAAACAAAAATTATCCATAGTAGATCTTACAAAATAGAAGTAAAGTTAAAATTAAAATTATTCAAGCAAAAATTTCAAGATGCATTTCATGATTAAGCTGTACTCCAATACCTGAAGGGACTAATACTAACTTCATTTTCACTATGATTCTTCCTTTTATTAATATTACAACTTGCCCCTGCTGTCTACTCCTTGTGTGGTGAGTAGCCTCCTATTCACTACTCAGTGGTACAACATTAAATGACAAAACGGAATTTTCTGGTGATTCTTCAGAACAAAGAGAACCTACTCATTTACTTCAGAAGCAATTGCCACCTCCTCAGGTGGAAATGGATCAAGCATTGAAAAAAGAGGGACTTGAATTTGAGGAGGATGAAGACATTAAAGAAAATGAAGACAGGGAGCAAAAGAAAAAGATCCATGGACCTGGGGATGCAGGAAGACTTCCCAGTGAGGGACAGAGCAGAGAAGAGGAAGATCAGAGCCCTGGGGAGGAGGTGAAGCAGGCCCATCAACACAGAAACCCAGCAAGGGAGGAGGAAGACAAAGACGAGGATGAGACCATCAGAGGAGACGTGTTCAGGATGCCCTCTCAACTCCCAGTTCCTGCTCCTCCCAGAGGCATGCCTCCTCTGCCAAGCAGGTGCTCTCTGTCCTACAGGACCATCAGCTGCATCAGTGCTGACCTCTCACAGATACCACCACTAACAGCACCAGAGATAACAAGTCTGGAGCTCATTGGTAAGAGATGTTGATGTCTGTTTTACCTTGCGCTTTAAAAGTAAATAATTCTCAATATCCTATGAATGTTATATTTTAATTTCATAATATAAATTGACTCCAAACAGCCTAATTTCACAATCTTCAAACATATAAACTTTGCAGAGGAAATAGGTGTTTACACAGGTAGAAAGCAAATTCCTCCAAATCAAATCATGATTTCCCATGGACTTTTTTCTTAAAGTTAGCTTTACTGAGGTATAATTTATATATAGTAAAAATTTATTTTTAGCATGTTCTTGAGTTTTGACATATGCAACCACCACCACAATCAAGATATAGAACATTTCCATCACCTCATCAGCTCAGGATCTAAGGTAAATGGTCATTAACAGCGGCCTTATTAATGTAATAGGGTGTAAAAGATCATAGGCTTGATTTATTTTAGTGGACTTCAGATATAAAAGTTTTCCTAGGACCCCTTGGCCTCATTTTCTCTAACTCTTTGTTCTTCGATCACAAGTGGAGATTTTCTGAGCTAACCTTGGTGGTTGCCACTAGACTACTTGCTCTTGAAATGCTGACATGATCTTACATTTTATAAAGCACTTTTACATTAATCTTCTCTGTTAATCCTCATTTTAGACCTATGAAGCAGGTGTTAGCCCTTCTTTTACCAAAAATCCCCTCAGAAAGTAAGAAGCAACTTGCTTGAGTCTGCACAGCTTATGATACGATATGATATGACTACAACTGACTTACTACTTTGTCAGATACTTTGCTAGAAGTGTGTCGGCCCATTGAGAATTTATAGTCCCAAGGAATGAGACAGGCAGGTGAACAGGTAATTTAAAATAAACACCGAGGCTGTGAACTCGCAGCCTGCAGTCCAGATTTGGCTAACAGATGTATTGTTTGACCTGCCCAGTTTAAAACAATTTTGAATTGCTTTCTAGCATTTCCTCCCTTTTGTTTACATGCAGTACAATTCACCAATTTAAGTATATAGTTTTAACCCTCGTGTAACCACCACCACAATCAAGATATAGAACATTTCCATCACCTCCCCAAATTCCCTCACATCTCTCCTTTCACAGCCCTGGCCACCACTGATGCATTCTTTCAATAGTTTTGCCTCTTCCAGTATGTCATGGAAATTGAATCATTCAGTACATAGCTTTTTCAGTTGGGCTATCATACTGCTTTTGAGGGTCACCGAGGCTGTTGCATTTATCAGTATCTTGCTCCTTCTCACTGCTGAGTGATGTTTCATTGCTTGGATGAACCACAGGTACCCCCTGAAAGACAGCTGGATAATTTCCAGTTTGGGTCAATTATGTGTACGGTTGCTTTAAACACCTGCGTATAGATGTTTGTGTAGGTTTAATTTATCTTTTCTCTAGAGTACATACCCAGGAGTAGGACTGCTGAGTAACAAGTAAATGCATGTTCAACTTTATAACAAACTACCAAACAGTCCCTAAAGTGGCTGCCACATTCCTGCCAGCTATGTTGGAGAGGTCCTGCAGCTCCACTTCCTGTCAGCTGTTTTCCCCCTCATTTTAGCTATTCAGATGAACATAGAGTGCTCCAGATCTTTTGCTTATCATATTTTTATAGGGCCACCTAGAAGGGTTCTGAGTAGAAGAACGGCATGACCAGATGTGTGTGTGTGTGCGTGTGTAGTTGGTTGGCGGGGAGACTGGGTTGGTTGACAAACTTGGGCATTTGTCTGCATGACAAGGCCCATGCTGGGCACAGAAGCAGGAGTGAAAGAATCTGAATAGAGTTTCAGATGTGTCTTAGGGGAAATCATAAACTACCATCAAAGTAATAAATGACCATAATGAATACTCATTAGAAAAAGTCCAACACCTTTGTTTAGGATGGCCAGTCTGATGGGACACCACCAGTGTCGTGGCCTTCCTGACACCACTTATGACCTCCTAAGAAATTCTTCTCATATATAGAGACTCCTCTAGTAATGCCCCATCTTCCTGCAGCCTGCAGCCAGATGTGCTCTGCCATAAGAAAACTCAATTTGTCAAAGTCTAAAGTCTTATGAAAGATAAATAAGTTGTGCTCAGTCACAATATCTTGGTTTTACAAGCAGGTCACCATGTGGTTTTTATAGTATTCATATTTCTGGTAAGCTCACTTTCTGGGTTTAAAATCATTGACTACTGTACTTAACTAAATGTCCAAACAACCCCACAAATTTAAGGCATGCAGGAACTTTTATGGATTAAAATCATAAAAGTAAAACATTAAATCTAATGGCAATCTGACAATTATCTCCCCAAGCTGCTTATTAAGGAAACTGATGCTCAGAGAAGGTGAGTGATATGTCCTGATTAAAAAATAGTATCGTATTTCTGATCCAGGGTCTACTAAATGTCAATGGGAAAATATGAAGAACTATAAAAATCAGTTTCTATATAACTTTCCAGAAACATGTCCTTGTTATAAAATGTATGTTAACAGAACTGTCTAGCAAACCGTATTCTGGCATTTTAGAGCAGTTTTATCTAAAACATAACAAGTTCTTAGAGTGAAAATTTTGACTATGTTAAACAGTCTAGTTACAGTCTTGTTATTTTCCTAAATGTGCATTTGTTTACATAATATATATTCTATACTTGTTATGAGAATTGTTTTCTCCTCCAGATAAAGCACATGCACGTGTGTGATACATGTACACACATATACATGTATGTATAGACACACAGGCCTAAAACACAACTGCTGTGTGTCCTAGGCAATTCCATCACCTCCATTCCGGATGAAGCATTTAATGGATTACCGAATTTGGAAAGGCTTGATCTGAGCAACAATAATATCACCTCTTCAGGCATAGGTCCAAAAGCATTCAAGGTAAATATACACTCTGATTCGTGAGTAACAATCTGCTTAGATGGTTTTTTCATGACATGTACCAGCAGCAGGTGGAGATAGGAAAGGGAGGAAGGGTTAAATGTTTTAACAGGTAGTATTTTGCCTAAGAAAGTTTCCTCTCTGATGTCTGTAAACTGTGTTCATTTTTATCTTGAAAAAAGTCTGTTGTTTCACATGTTTCTGGCTGCCTTTTCTATGCTTCACCATTAGAGTACCAACAACAGCATTAATGACAAAACTAATGTGAATTTCCCCCAAGTAGCTGAAAACATATTGAAATATGGTCTCTTAGTACATGAGGTATTTCTGGGAAGAAAAGATAGCTTAATCTGGAAATTCTATTAACATTTTGAGGCCAGCAAGTTAGAGCTTCCCTATTTTGTGCCATGGGGAATATCTGATGAAGCATACTTTAGTAAGAGGGGTTCTGGAAAAACAAATGGACTCTGATGAAAATTGGCAAGGGGATAGGTTGGAGGGGGAAAAAAAAGGGAGAGAAGGGAGGAAACAGCACAGAATAAACTTCTGAAAGACTCAGATTTGACAATTTTTTCTCTTAAAAGGAGAAAAGGAATTTCAGAAAAACAAAACAAAGGCAAAAGCAAGAAAGGAGAGGTTTGTGTATATAAACAAATACTAAAAAATATGTATGCTTTAAGAAACCCAAGTGAAACATACAACATCCCGCAAGGTCAAACTTTATCCCCTTTGGACAAATTGCTGGCCTCTTAAATGCTCAGTTCCTGGTTCTCATTCAGATTTTGGGCTGACAGATGAGAACAGTCCAGGTGCTGTACATGTTTGTCACAGGCCCAGAGTATCTGCCCCATGCTAGCCATCCTTCTGACACCTGGGACTCGTGCATTTCCTGAATTTGATCAAAAAGCAAGACACTGTAGGAAATTATCTTCTTTGCTTGTTTTTAAATTTTCTGTCCCATTCCCAAACTGCTGAAATTTGACTCTGAGCACCACTAAATTGTTCACGTGGCTTCACTAAAACCTGACCAACTGCAGCACTCCTTTGGTAGTGAAGGCTAGTATGGCTATCGAGCATGCAACCACAAATGGAGATTCACTTCTCAGGCAGTCAGAACTGTTTGGGTACCATACAGGAATAGCTTGTGATATTTGTAGCACTTCATTTGGAAGAATTTCCACTATAATTAGTGCTATTTCATGATTCTTGATGACGATAGAAAACTCAGGTTTACAAATACATTGAAAGGATTCAAATTGCTGTCCTAATTTTAATATCCAGGCCAGATTCATGATACTGCATGATTTCATTAACTTTGTATCTATTGCTGAGACACAATCCAATGGTGACAGGAGCTTTCTCTTGCTTAATAAAACCACAGTAATAGGTGATAAATATGTCGTATGAAATACAAAATCATCCAATGTAGTTTGCTGAAAATGCCTGGGAATAAATACTACAAACAATATCAACATCTACCTAGCAGGGAGAATATGGGGATTCCTGTCTAAACCTGAGTAAGTACAGGTGTAAGACTTCAGTAATTACAGCAAACTGAATGTTAAATAAGACACATTACTATACATCTGTGACCAGATAAACAAGTAATTTTGAGATTTGCTTTTTTAAGCTTCTGAAGAAGTTAATGCATCTGAATATGGATGGAAACACTTTGGTAGAGATTCCTTCAGAACTACCATCTACATTAGAAGAACTTAAAATCAATGAGAACAATCTTCAGGCTATTGATGAAGAAAGTTTATCAGGTATTAAGCATTTGGTTTAATGATATGTGTCCTTATAATCTTTCTTCTATATTCACATGGGAATTTTTTTTTTATTTGCAGTATTGCTAAAGAGTTGCTAGTGAGGTTTTTTTAGGTCACTTTACAATTTAAATTGATAAACTTATTTTAACTATTGACTGGTAAACTTTTTAAAATGCATTTTAAACTGCCCATTGTCTTAAAAAGTACTCTAAATAGAAATAAAACGCTACGATTTCAGGTTCTCATCATCTATAATACAATAACCGAATTCCAAATCCGTAATATCCTAACATTTACACTAACTTTCCACACACAGCCATATGTTCTGGTGCTGTGTCTGTACTGATGTTTTTGGTGGTGGTTAGTGGTGGTAATGCTGTACTGCAGTTTGTTGATTGGGTATCTTTTATCACTATTAGATGCTCAATACACTCCAGTAGCAACTCTTGCCACCTCCACACATTTTGCTACTTTAATTTGTCATTTGATGGCACATGAGAATTATGTATCAAATATGAATAAGTAGGCACTATATGTGAGGCTGAGGGGATATCCTACAGAGTACATTAGCTTTAGCACATGTACACCATGGCAGTCACTTTGGCTTTGACCATCTTGTTCCCAAGAGGGTTATCATAGCACTTCTGCCACTAGGTATCAGTGAGGTAGTACACTCACCCCACAGGGCAAGACAAAAGATGTGTGTGAGTGTTTGGCTGCCATGACAGCCTGGCTTTCTTATGAATGGGCTTTAGTGAAGGTGCCCCACATTCCATACATTTGATACACCTAGAATTGACTATTATGGTTGTGCATTACTAAAGCTGTCATATATTGAACTCTGAATAAAAGAAGCAGTTTTTCATTGAGCTTTTCATAAATTCTAGATAATGTCTTTGATAAGATTATATGTTTTTAAGGACAAAGACTGCCTAATTTTTCGTCTTATCTTCCTAACAGTCTAATGCAGCTCTGGAGGTATAGTGCTCAAAAATTTTTATTTGTCTTGAAATATATTTATTATATTAACATTGATAACAACCTAAGCCTTTAAAGGAATAAAATAATTCAATTATTTCCTTTCACTCCCAAAAATACTTCATAGAAGTAAACGCTTCCAGTGATGAGAAAAAAAAAAAACAAAAAAAAAAACAATATGTGAATTGCCAAATCTGAGGATTCTAGAGTTATAGAAATACTCTATTTCCAGATGGATTTCAGAGTACAGAAGAAAAACATTAATAAACACAAAATTCAATGGGCTTTGTCATATGGAAAAGATATTAGAAAATTCAATTTCTAACTACTAGAAATTGAAATAGACCAAAGGAACACTTAATTTAGAAGAAGTATATTAACAGGCTGTATGTAAACTATGTATGAGAACATATTCCTAGCAGTGTTATCAAGTGACATGTTGTAAAACAAAAGCCCATATTTAGAAGGTGCTCTCACAGATTTCTGCGATTGCTTCTCTGCACATTCTCCCTCATGCACAAATGCTTCCATATCTCCAGAGGGTCGACTATGGTCCAGGGCAAACTGGCCTCCTCTCTCCCCTGCATGCTCCCCTCTCATCTCCATAGTCCCAGTACTGTGGAGGCAGAAGCCCTGTGAAGGTGGCCAGTGAGGAGGCTCTCCACTGTCATTTCATCCATAGAGCCTCCTCTACTCTGTGTGGGCAGGCTCCTCTTCTGTTTGGGCTGAGTTTTTAGTCCTGCTCCAGTGTTAGCCCCTTGGGTGCTGGTTTTTTTCTTGACTACTGTAGCCATTGAGGCTCCCTAGTTCCTATGAGTCCTGTTGGTGTGGATGATCAGGCTGACCAGCAGTGAGCAGGGTGAGCCTGAGAAAGGCCGCCGCCAGTGCTGTGATTCTGTTTCTTTAGGGTAGAAGCCCCTGGCTTCGCCATCAGTGGCCTATTGTTCTTCTATTATCTCTTGTGGCAAGTCTTCACTTATGACCTTTCAGGTTATATATAGTTCCAGAGAAGGGAAAAAAGGCAATTGAGGGAGAGAAGAAGCATGTGCAAAAGCATGGAGAAATGAGACAATCTGGATGTTACGGGATCTTCATACAGTTCTGTTGAGTCTGGGATACAAGGTGTGGATGGAGCAGTGGGGAGTGAAGGGCAGGAAATGGGCAGGAACCAGACAACAAAGAGCTGCACATGCTGGGCCAAGGTGTCTGGAGTTCAACCACGATCCACCGAAAGATTTGCATACCCACTACGGAGAAAAGGAGGGTCTTACAATTCAGGGGGAGAGATGGAGGACAGAAAGGAGGGACAGCAGGAGAAAACTAGATGTGCTTTAAAAATGTTCCTGTCTTCATTATTATGGAAATAAACCAATATCCACAATCACGGCAGCCCCTCTAGCAATGATTGTGTGTGGCTATGCACTTGGAATACCTATGAGATCTTGTTCTCAAGCATATTTATCCATGTTCATAACCTGTCATGTTGTTCTCTTATCCAATAACAGGAAAGAATTCCTATCAGTTCCTTGCTAATAAATCCTCTTTCTATCCCAAGTCTACAAGAACATTTTAATGTTTTCTAACTCTATCCTGTTTCTTGTTACATATAGGAATACACATACCATGTGTGTTTCCTATACATACAGTATACGCATAAACCAGAGAATAATTATAAAGTGATGTATAATATCATGTTTGCATTGTGTATTATGTTTCTTTTCTGAGGTCATGTAATGACCATTAGTCTATTTCTATTATGTTTTTCACTGGAAAACTTCTATTACATCCTTGAACCTCAAATATGTACCAGATAAATATAATAGATTCTCAGTATATTCAGTTTTGGAAATTAAAGAGACTATGAGGAAATATAATCACTTATCATAGTTTACTTGTTGGCC